ATTTTACTGATAACTGTATATTTTAAACTGATTGCTGTATAAAAGTTTCTATTTTAACTGATAGCTGTAAATTTTATCTGATAACTGTATAAAAGTTTCTATTTTTAACTGATAGCTGTATAAAAGTTTCAAATGTAACTGATAACTGTATATTTTAAACTGATTGTTGTATAAAAGTTTCAATTTTAACTGATAGCTGTATATTTTATCTGATAACTCTATAAAAGTTTCTATTTTTAACTGATAGCTGTATAAAAGTTTCAAATGTAACTGATAACTGTATATTTTAAACTGATAGCTGTATACAAGTTTATATTTTAACTGATAGCTGTATATTTTAACTGATAACTGTATAAAAGGTTATATTTTAACTGATAACTGTATAAAAGTGTCAATTTTAACTGATAACTGTATAAAAGTGTCAATTTTAATTGATAACTGTATAAAAGTTTCTATTTTAACTGATAACTGTATAAAAGTTTATATTTTAACTGATAACTGTATAAAAGGTTATATTTTAACTGATAACTGTATAAAAGGTTATATTTTAACTGATAACTGTATAAAAGTTTCTATTTTAACTGATAGCTGTATAAAAGTTTCTATTTTAACTGATAACTGTATAAAAGTGTCTATTTTAACTGATAACTGTATAAAAGTTTCAATTTTAACTGATAACTGTATAAAAGTTTCTATTTTATCTGATAGCTGTATAAAAGTTTCTATTTTAACTAATAACTGTATAAAAGTTTCTATTTTAATTGATAACTGTATAAAAGTTTCAATTTTAACTGATAACTGTATATTTTAACTGACAGCTGTATAAAAGGTTATATTTTAACTGATAACTGTATAAAAGTGTCAATTTTAACTGATAACTGTATAAAAGTGTCCATTTTAATTGATAACTGTATAAAAGGTTATATTTTAATTGATAACTGTATAAAAGTTTCTATTTTAACTGATAACTGTATAAAAGGTTATATTTTAACTGATAACTGTATAAAAGTGTCAATTTTAACTGATAGCTGTATAAAAGGTTATATTTTAACTAATAACTGTATAAAAGGTTATATTTTAACTGATAACTGTATAAAAGTTTATAATTTAACTGATAGCTGTATAAAAGTTTCTATTTTAACTGATAACTGTATAAAGGTTATTTTTTAATTGATAGCTGTATAAAAGTTTCTATTTTAACTGATAACTGTATAAAAGTTTATAATTTAATTGATAGCTGTATAAAAGTTTCAATTTTATCTGATAACTGTATAAAAGTTTATAATTTAATTGATAGCTGTATAAAAGTTTCTATTTTATCTGATAACTGTATAAAAGTTTATAAT